GTTCATTGAGTATTTTTATTCAGGTGTAAGCAGATTTACAGCAGGAAAAAACAAACAAACCAAGAAAGAGGATCGGCTGCTTGAGAGTGAATTCAGGGAGGCACTGACCTTGGGGATGACTGTGAGGCAGAGGATGACATCCAGCAGGGAGAGGATGGCAAGCAGGTAGTACATGGGCTCATGTAGAGATGCCTCCTGCCAGATGGCAAGTAATAACACAAAATTGGCACCTAGCGCCAAAACCAGGAGGGGAGCCAGGGCTACAGACAGCCAGTGCTGTGTGTCCTGCATTCCCGGCAGGCACATCATCAGGAACTCAGTCACCTGGGTTCCTGTGCTGTTGAGAGATAACACCATGACTGGCAGGTGGACCTGGAACTGGCTGAAAGAAAAGACACATGAATTCAGGGTTTGACTGTTTCATCGAAAAACTCTTACCTATTTGCCTCCATTCTAGGCTGTAAAGTTTCTTCACAATTCTATTGGCATAAAATCTCTCTACAATGTAAATTGTATCACATCACTCCATATTAAAGTCTTCTTAGTATTCATAACTTTATGAATAAATAATAACTCCCTTCAAGTATGTTTCTACCTCACCCACATAGACTCAGGCACCTATTGAACATACTTTGCTTGATCTCATCTTTGTGTTTTTGTATATGTCATATGTTTCTTATAGAATCAACTCTCTTGCCCTCAGATAACTAACTTCTGCTTGTCCTATTCTACCTGTACCAAGAATTACACGTCTTACAACTTTTAAAATTATTATTATTTTTTACATACATAGATGCCTCTTCTCTCCATTGTTTCTCTGATCATGCTGCTATCGAATATTGATAAAAGTTTCCTATACTCATTGGTGTTTCTTAATTGTTTTCCAAAAAGTCTGTTCTCCATCTGCCAGCAATAGAATCTTATCTTTATATTATAGCACAGAGGAAAATACAATGTACCTGGAGACATAATAGGCACTCAATAAGTATAGTTCAGATACATGGACTGACAGTTTTTTGAAAGTATCATGATGACCTTGATTAATTTAATTTAGCGTCTCCATATCTTTCTCTACTATAAACCTTCAGCATTCTTGCTTACCACTTGGTAAAAAGCTGAACAAAGCAGAATCAAATAAAAATAATTTAGTGATGAAAAAATGTAACCTTGTGATAGAACAATAAATACAAAAGATACCTATGCAGTCTCTGTATTTGTATATATATTTGGTAAGTAGCTGCCGAAGAAAATAAAACCTCCTCTGCAATCCCCTGGAAAAGGAGGAAAAATCAGGAAGTAAGGATCAAGGACAAGGGGAGAACTGAAGGAATCCTTAAACATGCCTCAGGATACGATGCTACACAGACAGCAGCTTTAGTTCTCTTTGAGTATCTCCTTAACCATCCAGGATCCTGCTGGTGAAGAAGTTTCCAGGTTCTGCTGTGCTCTCCCCTGAAGCAGAGGGAAGGTCATCTCTCACAAATGGATGTTTTGGACATCTGGTCGGGGCACCCCTGGACACACAAAAAATGTCCTAATCAAGGTTTAGAGTTATTTCATTATTTTCTCAAATATATGGTATGGTATTCTCACCATGACTTTCTTTTATCTAGACCACTAGTTCTCAAATGCGAGTATGCATCAAATCACCTGGATTTCTTGTTGAAACACAGATTGCTGAACACAACCCCCAGTTACCAATTTTGTACATACATCTGAGTGGGAAGCCCAAAATGTTGCCCTTCTAACAAATTCCCAGTAATGGTGAAATTCCTTTCCAGGAATAATACTTTGAGAATGACAGAGCTACACCCAACCGTGACAACTGACCTAACCACTGATTTCAATTGACCCTAATTCAAGGCTGCTGCCACATTTTAGCAGGTCTGGCCACAGCTCTGCTCAGATCCAGACATCCAACTGGTTCTTCTCCCATGATCTGTAGTTATTTCAGCACAGTCTGGCCAATCTCTAGTGTCCCAATTTAAAAGTGATCTTCCTCACATGGACTCTCTGGGAAGTTTGTAGGTTCCTTTATTATAGTTTTATCTCTCCGACTGGATCCATAGTTCTTAACCACCTCTCCTAGGAAGACCTAAACTCATTACGATCAAGGACAAGGTTTCATTCATTTTTCTTTGTGACACTTGGCACAAATCCAGACACTAACAACATATCTCTATTGCTCAAAGTAGGAATACTTGCTGGTCAACTGTTCTGCTGGAGACAGACTAGAGCTTAACTACTGTGAGCTCAGCTGCCCGTGCTCTAATGGGCTCATGCTTTTTTTATGTCAGTGATTTTCAAGGTCTTTACAAACTCATATATGAAGGTGCAATAACATTCTCTAAAATAAACAAAGAATTAAGTAGAAGACCAAACTTACAGTCTCACTTATATTCACTTTCCACTGTAGTATAGTAACTATACTATTCCCAAAAGACTTACAGAGAAAGTGCTCCAAGTAGCAGTTTGATCATTCAACTGCTTCCAGGCAATGTGTGACTCCTCAATTTCTCACTCGCCTTCTATTGTGGCTTTAGCAACTGGACAACTTTATGAAGATGCTGATTCTATAAAAGCCACTCTCCTGTGGTTAAAAACATGAAGAATTGGTTTGGGAATCCTGCTCCCAGGAGCTCTGGCCTCCCTTCAGGCACATACACATTTCCAATGTAAAATGAGAGATTTCTGCAACTAAACTAAGGTGAAGTGAAAAAGAGTTGATCAGCTTATAGTTTCTCTTCAGATGTCTGACAGTTATATAAACAGATATATTATGTGTCATAGCAAAGAATATCACTCAGGAATTTGGAGGATGTCTCTAAGAGATCCTTTAAGACAGAGGTTCTCAACCTGTGGGTCGAGACCCCTTTGGGGATTGAACGATCCTTTCACAGGGGTCGCCTAAGACCATAGAAAAACACATATATAATTACATATTGTTTTTGTGATTAATCACTATGCTTTAGTTATTTTCTATTTGTAACAATGAAATTGGGGGTCACCACAACATGAGGAACTGTATTAAAGGGTTGTGGCATTAGGAAGGTTGAGAACTACTGCTTTAAGAAGACAAATGTCATTATACTTATGGAATGACCCCAACTTGCATGTTAGCTGCATTCTAGAAATATTGTACTTAAAATAAACACTTTATGATGATTGGGCATCATTCTTCTTTAATGAGAAAACTAGAGCTAGATTGGTGAGTCAAAAGTTACACATCTAACCAGTGGCCAAATTGGTATACCTGGGATTTCAATAAAGTCTTTGTTATCTCATTCCAAGATAAGCAATCTTAGGTTCTCTAATATATAAAATTGCATTGAACTGTGACTTGTAAAATACTTCTTGTAAGGTGCTTTGGGGTATACAATATATTAACAACTTGATCCTTTTCTTAAAAAGTTTTCAGGGGAAATAAGAAACAAGTTACGCACATATGAATTATTCACTTTTATTAAATAAAAACTACTATATATAAATTATTGTATTCACAAGTCTTAAGTATATTAAGTTAAGAAGATGAATGAAACTCCTCCGCAGACTCAGAGGAATTTATAAACCACTATCAGAAAGAGATTTATACATAGTTCCATATAGTCAGATTCATTCCATTGGGGTGATCAAAGGAAGGAATTTTGGAGTAGGTAGAGTTTAAATTGAGGCTTGTAGAATGAACATAGTTTGTCAAATAAAGTCGTTGTTGTTTTTATGTGGAAAAAGATACTTCTGCATAGACTTTAAGAAAAAATCTTGGAGTACATAATCTAAAAATAATGAGCTAGGAGTAACTGAACCATGGGTGAATAGAAGAGGGTTTAAGAAGAGTGTTTTGTATTTTGGTTAGGATCAGTCTTTAGAGTTGTAAGACAATGCCGTAACAATGTTGTTATAAGCCCCCCCCTCGCCCCCAGAATGGCTAACTTTATCGTAGATGAGCTACATTCGAGGAAATTTTCAAATGATTCTCATATATGAAGTTCTCAGTATCCAAAAAGGGGCTTAGTTACCAATGCAAATTAATCTCAGGAAATATTGGATCAGTATCTGAGTTGCCACCATTTTCAGGGCACAGTCAGGAAGGGAACTGCAAAGAGTAAAACAGACATATCCTTATTCAAATAACCCACTAATCCAAAGGTCTGGATGCCATAAGAAACTATGCTGGCATCAGCACAGAATATAATAATTGACACAACAGGAATGAAAATAGGCTGTCAATTTAAGTATATCTAAGAGAAGCAGGAGAGAGTGTGGATGGATCATGTCTAAAATCTGATGGAAAATTCAGGTAGGATCATATGAATTCAGAAGTTGCTAAAGCACATCTGAAATAAAAAACCTCTCACTTAACACACACACACAATTGAGTGATCCTAAAATGTATTTAAAAATTCTTTTTAAAAGGAAAAGAGCAACAGAAAATTTATGCTACAGACAAGTGTCATTAGGTAAATACTACTATATCAACAGGATCTGGCAGGGCTAGAGGAGGCAATGGAGGGCACATGGCATTCACTCAACTATAAGAATCCAAGTTCTGGAGTGAACTTTCTATATATTCACAAGAGAGCCATTCATAGTACAAAACCAAATTGATCTGTATATCAGATCTCAGGTAGAATCAAGAGATCTAATACATATCTAAGTACTAAGTAATTGAGGAAATTGAGAGGCATTGAAAGTGATTAGACTACCATTTATTCTTTATTCAAAAAAACAATAGCACTCTAATTAAGCTCCTGTGATTATGGCTTGACAAATCCCTTTCACATAAGTGAGGCCAGGAGAAACTTCTAGGTAAGTCCAGAATGCAAAAACAGACAGTGAAATAGAAAACAGGAGTCAAAATATGGATATCTCCAGGATCAAATGGAACATTAGAGAAAGAAAAATCCATACTTATTTCTGTAGTAATCATTTACATTTTCTATGCATCATGAAAATTATTCCCCATTATCAGTTTCTGTTTCCAAGGTCAAATCTCACTTATGTTAGTTCTTCAGCCTCCTCAGCAATTTCTGGATTCCCTGCTTGATCTCCTTGGTTCTCACGCCATAAACAATGGGGTTCAGAGCTGGGGGGATCAGGTGGTGCAGGATGTTGAGCAGGATGGGGACATCTGGGGGGATTCTCTTCCTGGCCAGGTTAGTGATGACCAGAACCAGCAGAACTGTGCTGAAGAACAGGATGAGGATGAAGTGGGAACCGCATGTGCTCAGGGCCTTGGCCGCAGCACCCTCAGCCTTGATCCTTAGCACAGCTCTCAGGATGAAGGAGTAGGAGAGAACAATAAGGATGAGGTCAGAACCTAGTAAAGTCCAGCCTGTCACAAACTGGTAGAGCCGGTTGAAGGTAATGTCATCACAGGAGAGTTTGGACACAGATAGGTTAGTGCAGATGCAGTTCTTGATGATGTTCTCTGCACAGTATCTGAGTCGGGAAGAAAGGATTGGGATAGGCATGGTAAGAATGCCATTCCGGGCCACAACAAATATGGCAGCCCTAGCCACAAATTGGTCTGTGATGATGGATGGGTACCGTAGGGGGTGGCAGATGGCCACATAGCGGTCATAGGCCATGACCATGAAGGTGCAGGACTCCATGGTCAAGAAACTATTCATGATGAACATCTGGAGGAAGCATCCAGAGAAACTAATAGATTTGTTGTCAAACCAGAACATGGCCAGGACTTTGGGGATGACGGTGAGGCAAAGCACCATGTCCAGCAGAGAGAGGAGGCTGAGCAAGTAGTACATGGGCTCGTGCAGTGAAGCCTCCAGCCGGATGGTGATCAGGAGGGTGGTGTTCGCCCCCATGGCCAAAAGGAAGAGGAGGCTGAGGGGCAGGGACAGCCAGTGCTGCCAACTCTGGTAGTTAGGGAAGCAGATGAGGAAGAATTCAGAGACTGGAGCAGTGGAGTAGTTGCTGGGCGATGCCATGTAAAATATTCTGATCACAGCTGACACTTTAGAAAACCTTGAAGGGTAAGACATAATAAATACCCATGGAAAAAGAATTGATATTCCAAAGAACCATTGAACAATAATCATAGGTAAGTGTCTGGTACTAAGTCCTTGGTAAATATAAACCAATTAATTTTGTTAAAAATCCTGTAAGTAGAATGATAGTAGGATGACTGTATTTCTTATTTGACTGGCGAAATCCCTATTTATACCCCTTTTCACTCTTAATAGTTTCTGAACTTGATTGGTAAATCACATGATCATCCTCTTCATAAGACAATTCCATTGCTATTCCAATTTTGCAGATGAAGAATCAAAGGCAATAAAAGTCATTTTACTAAAATCACGGTAGTGAAGCCGTGTCATGTGACCATGAAGTCTGAATTACACTCTTATTACCTTTTCTGTCTCTATAAACAAAATCCCGTATGCAGAGCAGAAAAGCCATTGCCCCAAAGATATGCCTGCTCCTGTTCTTTCTCCAAGAGAGGACATTATAGACAAAGGAGAAATCAGGCCTTAGTTCATCACTAGAAAATATCTGAAGACTTCATTAGAGTTAGGACAATCATTTGTACAGGACCATAGAGAAGACATTAAAAAGTTTCCTAATATTCTAAGCAAGTAGTCAAGATAAGAACAAAAAATGTCAAAGGTCATCAATTTTATCCAACATGACTATTCCAAGAGTAAGGGATAAGAGTGTCTGCTGTCTTCACCTGATTTCATCATGGATTCTCTCTCAGTCAGTCACAATCCTAACTTGACTAAATAGGATCTCATGGGTTCAAGGCCTGGAATATCATAAGAGGTTATGAACAAAATCAAGACACTTATGATATAACCTTTATATGGTTGCCATGAGAAGCCTATCTTATAACACTGGTTGACATATCCCAGTGACACTATTTGTTTTTAATGCTCTGAGACAGTCCAATCTTACTCAGTTTTTGTCAACAATGGCAGTGTTCCCAATGAATCAGCTTCCCTTTATTTTCTGGGAAAGTGAGAGCCTTACAGTCAAGAGGTAATTGTGAATATTTGAAGATTTGGAAGATGGAAAAAACAAATTTGCTCTCTGTTTTGCCTAAGATATTATCACTTTCCATATAATCTTTCAATAGAAATACAGTGTGAGCCACATACAAAACTTCCATTTCCAGTAGACATTTTAAACATTGAATGGAAACATGCAAATTAATTTTAATAACATGTTGCTTTACTGAGTACATCCAAAATATTATCACTTTAATATGTAATCAATGTAAAAACTGTTAAAGAGCTAATTTATATTCTTTGTTTTCATTTTTGTACTATGTCTTCAAAATCAGGTGTGTATTTGACACATCTCAGTTCTGACAATCCACAGTTGAAGTGCTCAATAGTCATATACTGCTAGTGGCTAGACTAATGGATAGTACAAGTCTGGACTTTTGGAAAACTAAACATTTTTCTTTTGATTTTGCTTAACATATGAGTGTTCTCTTGGTGTTAGCCACATGGTATCTATGACTCTTGGGTTATATAGGGAATTCCTTTTTTAGTTCTATTTCTGGATCAGCTCAAAATTATAGTTTTTTTAAATTTTCTTTTTCAATACTCTCTATCAAGTTTTCTTCAGAGATTTCTTAGCAAAGTGATCTTTCAAATTCAGGATGGTAGTACCTCTTTAAGGACAGAGATAATCAGCATATGAAGTGCTCCCAGTTTAGTTGACACAGATGACTGTACCAGAGCCTAGGACTTTCCAGCAACCCTGACCTCCTTGACTCAGACTAGATACTACTCTTCACCTACTCCTACCTTAAGCCAGGGGAGTGTTTTTTTTTTTAAGAATCAATGTCACTATTCAGTAAAGAATACGAAAGTGTCCAGATATTTCCAAATGTGTTCACAGGAAGATAATTCTATTACATAAGATATATTTGGGAACTGGAACTAGATTTTGTTAACAAAGAGTGGCCAAAGATCTGAGGTTCTAAAGGTAGAATCAGAATTAGAAAAGAACTATACTTTCAGACATAAATCCAAATAAAACTATCCTGTTAGTCAGATCAGACAAACTTACCTGTAGCCAGATTCCAGTTACCTTAAAGAAATAAATCTATTCCTATGAACTCATCTGCTTTGTTTTCAGTTGGTTATAGTGGAACAATAAACCACAAATAAACAATTGATTCTACACCTAATCTGGAGTCTTCTGGGGAGCATGGTTACTTGAGCAATGAAAAAGCAATTCTATCCCACCCAGAGAAGCAGGAAGGAGCACCGGGAGACAAGGCAGGATGAGCCAGAGAGCCAAGAGGGAGTAATCAGGCAGCTGAGATTACTGTCCTATCACATCTGGTAATTCTAGGGTAATCTTCTCTAGGGGTGGCCAAATTGCAGTTAAGAATATAGACTCCTCATGAACAACATAAAGTGATGAATGAAAACAGATCCAAAGACAGAGAAGCATCAATCAGACTGTCAAACCTCAGAGGGAAGGTAGGGGAGGGTGGGAATAAGAGGGAGAGATCAATCGAAGGACTTATATGCATGCATATAAGCCTAACCACCTAACCAATGGACACAGACATGGGGAGGTGGGAGGGTGGGATAAGGAAACATATGTAATACCTTAATCAATAAAAAAAAATCAGTCACTAATATTTTTGATTACCTGCTCTATATCACATTTTAGAATCTGTTTTGGGAAATAACAATGGCAGCATATAGAAAAAAAAAAGAATATAGACTCCTGGTCTCCAGTTGCCATAGACAATCTATAATAATAAAAGCATAATATGCTAATTAGACTGGACATCCTACTGGATGACCTTCTGGATGAAGCTGGGGTTGCAAGGAAAGCTCGGGTCCCAGGTGCCTGCCAGCAGCCAGAGGAAAGCCCGGGTCCTGGGTGCCGGAGGGAAGCCTGGGTGCCAGAGGGAAGCCGGTGTTGGCAGCTGGGGGAAGGGAGGCCTACTCTTGCACGAATTTCATGCATCGGGCCTCTAGTTAATAATAAAGGTATAGATTTAATTCAAGAACACTCACCTTGAAAATCTTGGCTTTCCTAAATGGGTACTATACAGCTTACACTAGAAAAATGTGTTCCCATATGAAAGCAGTGACCCACTAGATTTGTTGTAATTGGTAGCTTATGAATCTGCAGCATCAGATGTATAGTAGTCAGAATAATTTCCACTCCCAGTTTATATTGTATATGTGGAATGCTACATGCCTCATCATTCCCATCATTATGACTTTCCTGGCTCCACAGCAGACCTACTAGCTTAAGGAGGCTGTACTGTACTGCTGCTACTTATGACTGCTTACTGTACCATCGGTTCCTCAGAGGCTCCAGAGGCTATTTTCAGGTCCCTAAGCTCAAATCTGTCCCTCCCCTACCAGTAGCCCACAGAGCTAAGACCATTTTAGGCATCTGAACCTTGAGAATAAAGCTCACTCCTGGGGCAGGGGAGAATGGGGCAAAAGAGGGAAGAGAGTAGCAAGAAAAGAGAAAACACAGAAGACAAAATTCAATATCAGAGTATTGAAGAACAGGGAGAGAGCTGAGAGAAGCCAGGAAGGTGGAGGGGGGTCTACAAAAATAGTGTATATGTTTAAATGAAACATCTATTTCTAGACTTAGGATAAACAGAAATATATTTTAGTTATTAAGTGTACTCTTAGAAAATTTATGTTTAAATGAAGATTTAATATTAACCTTAAATTGGGGTTATTTCATGGGCTATGAAGTATAATATGTTATGGAAACACTAGAAGCCCAGCATGAGGCCTTGCCATGCTCACAGCCCTGCCTACCCATGCTGGCCTTTGGTCGTTATGGCATTAGGTAAAAATATAGACTAGAAGCCCCGTGCACAAAAATTTGTGCACTGGCGGGGTGGGGGCTAGGGGGTGTCCCTCGGCCCAACCTGTGCCCTCTCACAGTCTGAGACCCCTTGGGAGATAACCACCTGCTGGCTTAGGCCCACTCCCCTGGTGGCAGATAGCATGCCCAATCCCGTGGTGCCTGCCCCCTCTCCCCCTGTCGTAGATGGCAGGCCCAGATCCTGCGCTGGGGTGGGCAGCAGCTCAGATAATGCTGCCGCCTGCCCAGCTCACCTCGCCCACCCCGCCCACCCCACCCTGCACACAGCAGGCCTGGATCCTGCGCTGGGGCAGGCAGCCGCTCAGATCATGTTGCCGCCCACCCCGCCCACCCCTCCATGCACACAGCAGGCTAGGATCTCGAGCTGGGGTGGCCAGCGGCTGGGGATTGGGCTGCTGCCCGCCCCACCCCCACACACTGCAGGCCCGGATCCCACGCTGGGGCAGGCGGCTGCTCAGATTGTGCTGCCACCTGCCCTGCCCACCCCGCCATGCACACGGCAGGCCCTGATCCCACACTGGGGCAGGCAGCGGCTGGGGATCGAGCTGCTGCCCGCCCCACCTCCCACACACCACAGGCCCGGATCCCACGCTGGGGCAGGTGGCCACTCAGATCGTGCTGCCGCCTGCCCCGCCCACCCCGCCATGCACACAGCAGGCCTGGATCCCGCGCTGGGGCAGGCGGCCGCTCAGATCATGTTGCTGCCCACCCCGCCCACCCCGCCATGCATACAGCAGGCCAGGATCTCGAGCTGGGGCGGCCAGTGGCTGGGGATCGGGCTGCTGCCAGTCCCAGGTGGGGCAGTGCAGCAGGATCTGCCTGCAGTATGCAAATTAGCCACCATCTTTGTTGGCCATTAATTTGCATATTGCGCTGATTAGCCAATGGGAGGCATAGCGACGGTATGGTCAATTACCATGTTTGTCTATTATTAGATAGGATTATTTTCCCTTATTACCCACAGTGCAGTAGCTTAATTAGAAACAGGAACAAACAAGTGAAACATTTATTTACTTATTATTTGTTTTGACTTTAAATAATATTTTTATTTTTTAATTAGAGTTGGCATACACTATTATATTAGTTTAAGGTGTACAATCCAGTGATTAGACATTAG